TCTCTCTCGTTCCAGCTCAAGCTTTATAACATACTGAAAGTCCATCAGGGTAACACCGCCACCACCCGCCACCTACTTGTCACCACCACCTACCCGCCGCCAGCCACCTACCACCACTATCCACCACCCGCTGCCACCAGCCACCCACCACCAGCCACCACCCACCACCACCCGCCATCCGCCCCCCACCTGCCACCACCACCCATTCGCTGCCACCCACCACCCGCCACCGTCACCCATCCATCCACCATCACCACCCACCACCACCCGCCATCCGCCACCTACCTGCAACCACCACCCACCAACTGCCACCACCACTACTACCACCTACTCGCTACCATCCACCACCCGTCACCGTCACCCACCCACCACCACTGCCACCACCATCACCACCAGCTACCTACCACCCACCGTCACCACTTTCCACCACCGTCTTCCGCCGCCACTTGTCACTACTTGCCATTTCTCACCCTTTTTTATATTTTTAAATTTTTTTAAACATTTTGTCAATTACCAAACGCGTTTGTAGTCTATGTTTTTCTAAAAATAAACAAAAATCAATTTATAAATTTTTTGTAAATATAAACTGAAAACGTAAACGTTACCAAACGGACCCTTAGAGAATTTATTCATTAATCGGAAAAAAAAAAAAAGTAATTTTAAATAAGTTCATTCATCTAATCACAATTTATTTTCTAAAAATAAACAAAAACCAGTTTACAAAATTTTTATAAATATAAGCTGAAAACATAAACGTTACCAAACACACCATAAGTGTTTGTTAGTTTAGAAAATGTGTACTCCAATGATATAAAAAAAATGTTTGTTAACTGTATATAAAATTACAAAAAAAAAAAAAAAAAAACCAACAACAACACAATGACCAAAAAAAAATTGTGTCATCTACCTTTCTTTTCTCTCTCACCCTCTCTCCTCTCATTACTTTTGTCAGGAGCCCAAAGCTTCTCTCTCTTTCTTTCTCTTCTCTTACTTCTTTCTGGCTTTGCTACAACACAGTTAGCTACTAACTTTACAAAAATTACTATCAGTAGCTAAATTAAATCTACCATTGGAAATAAAAAGAACAATATTAGAGCATCTCTAATGTTAAAATTATGGGTCCTGCTTAAGTGTGCAACCCCCTTAAGGTTGCACACCATATGCAACCCAATTGTTAGCCGTTAGATTACAATAATTGATCAAGACCATTGAATTGTTTAATCGTGAAAAAGTTGAAACTGGGGCAACCGGTTAATGCTTGTATTTGCATGATTGCATCCCACTCACTCTCTGTATTTCGTCTCTATCTCTCTCTGTTCTCCTCTCTGTGTAAGGTTGAGTCAGTGTAACTGTTGATTTCCATTAACAGGGAGAAGCCCCTGTTGGGTTCGTTCCATTGACGAAGCTCTGTAGGGAACAGTATAACGGGCGATTTCCAACAACAACGTAACTACAAGGCTGTGTTGGTTCCATTGCTGAAGTGAAGCCCTTCTCTCGAACTAGATATGAGGTATGGAGCTGTCTCCCTCTCTCTGTCTCCCTCTCTGTCTCTCTGGCCCGTTCACTTCAGCTATTTTCCCTCAACTAAAACCCCATCCTAACTTCAACCACTCTACGCTTCGCTCCAACGGAAACCCCTCCATTGGCAGCTAACCTTTCGCTTTCTCTTTCTCAAGCGAGTGTTTGTGTTTGCACAAACAGCTAAACTGTGTGAAAATGTCATGTTTGTGTTTGTGTTAACAATTTTCGGTCATCAAGTAATTGTTTGTAGTAATGTCATGTGCAGTATGGCCCCAGCGGAAGTTAAAAGGGAAGGTGATGATTATAACATTCCAAATGAAGCAGATGACATTCGTTTGATAAATGAAAGTCGGGCAGAACTTGATCATGGTTGCGAAGCTGGCCTGAGCAATGAAGAAGCAATCAACATGAACGTTGAAGATGGCAGAGCCGATGTGAAAAAAGAAATGGTTGACGATGCTCATCGCAATGACATGGTTGGTGATGTTGAACGTGCTATTTTGGAACAGAAATTTGATTCGATCGAAGATAGAGAAGATTTCTACAATGCGTATGCTAAAGTCAATGGATTTAGTATACGAAAATCCAGATTTAACACAAATAAAGAGGGAAAGGTCGTTAGTAGGCTGTGGTTGTGTTCAAGGGAAGGTCAGAGATTACCAAAATACTTGGACCGTGTTGCTGAGAAGAGTAGAGCTCCCAAGGCACTAACAAGAGTAGGTTGCAAAGCCCAATTTCGCATACGGTACGATGCGGATGCTGGTGAAGAGGGAAAGTATGTTGTGACTCACTTCATCGCAGACCACAACCATGAATTTGCGGAACAACACTGTGTGATGTATCTGAGGTCACATTGCAATTTAAACAGCGCTGACAAAGCTCAAGCAATGGCTATGCGCAATGTCGGTGTGAAGACTAGTCAAATCATGGACTATATGGTAAATCAGTCCGGGTCTTATGAGAATGTTGGTTTCATCCGTACGGATCTGCACAACCATATTCAAGCCGAACGTAGAGCAGAAGTTGAGGATGGTAATGCGCAGGGTGCGTTGGTTTACCTATGCGCAAAACTTGATGTTGATGCACGTTTTTTTTACAAGTATGATGTGTGTAACGATAACAAGTTACAAAATCTGTTCTGGGCAGATTCGAAATCGCGGGCCGACTACGCAAAGTTTGGTGATGTGTTGATATTTGACTCAACTTACAGAACCAATGCATACAAGAAACCCTTTGTCATGTTGGCTGGTGTGACTAGCCACTTAGGACCACGATATTTGCATGTGTTTTGCTAGCTAATAAGACAATTGAGACATACACATGGGTTTTGGAAACATTTATGGAGGCGATGGGCAATAAAGCACCTGTGTCCGTACTGACAGATGGGGATAAGGCGATGCGAGAGGCAATCAGAAGAGTATTTCCAGACACAAGACATCGATTATGTAATTGGCATCTTGGGAAAAATGTTGTTTCAAATGTTTACATAAGTGGCTTTGCACATGCTTTCAAGCAATACATGGACATGGAAATGGATGAGACAAAGTTTGAGCATGGCTGAACGACAATGGTCAAAAAATTTGGACTTCAAACCAACAGTTGGGTGTTGGAGACATATGAGAAGCGTCATATGTGGGCTGAGGCATATATGCGTGGACATTTCTTTGCTGGGATGATGAGCACTCAGCGCTCGGAGTGTATGAATGCTTATTCAATCCCTTCCTCCAATACAAATTGAAGCTATATGAATTTGTTAGGCACTATGATCGGGCTCTTGCAAGGATAAGGTATAACGAGGCTGGAGATGATGCTGAAACAAATAACACTTTTCCGGTATTGATTACTCCATTGCGAGATATAAAGAGACATGGAGCTAAGCTATTCACCCGAAATATATTTAGAATGTTCCGTGATGAAATCTTAGAAGAGGGGAAGTTGAATGTCAAGGACGTGTTCCCTTTGCCGGATGGTCAGAAATGCTACTATATTCATAAGTACAAAATGAAGGACAGATCATGGATAGTAACACACAGTTTCTTTTTGTTTTGTAAAATGGTCTCTCTCTCAAAGCCTTTTAAGGCTTTTCAGATTGTTGTATGGTGTCATTCATTCTTTTCTTCTCTTTACCCTTCTTTTATTGTCTTTAGGCCCTTTCTACTCTCAACCCCCAATTTTCAATAGTCTTTCTCCCTATAAGGCTTCATATCAAATTTGGCTTTAGCTTCTTGTATGATGTACTTTGAATGGTCGCCTGTAATTCAGAGTTTTTGGATAGTTTTCTTTCAAGGGAATCAATGCACACATACATATGTAATACACAGAACACCCACATCTCATGACTTGGAGGCAAGCACCTGACCTTCTTGACCACATGTCACCATTCATAACAAGTTTTGCATTAATATTAGATATCTAATAAATCAGATTTACAATAGATTTTTAATTTATATATGTCTACAATAATTTTTTTTTACCTATTTTAGAATGTTTACCGAGTCTTGCAATTCATGATTCTTATAATTTGATTTAACAACTATCACAAATTGCAAAGAATTATCAGATCAACCATCTGTCCTGTGAGACTCATTAATCCAGCCAAGCCAAGCTAGGAAGTTAGAAATCTTAAAAGGTTTTCACATCCAATCTGAATATTTGAAGAACTAAATCTAAATGCTTGATTCAAGGTCAACTTCAAGAAAGAAAATAATTGGTCTCCCAATGTCATGTTTGATAGTTTGAGTTGTTATTGCCTATTATGTGTTAGCATATTATAATTTATTGCAACTTGATCCCTAATTTGGAATATTCAAAACATATAGGACAAGAATGGTAGTTGGCGTTGGGTCCAAAAATATTACTGGGAGTTTCATTGAGGTTGTTGAGCGGCAGGGTTGGAAAGGGCTGTGGGCTGGTAACACAATCAACATGCTCCGCATAATACCTACACAAGCGATTGAGCTTGGAACATTTGAGCATGTCAAGCGATCAATGACATCGGCCCAGGAGAAATGGAATCAGATTGATTGCCCGCAAGTGCAAATTGGTCCTGTAAATTTGAAATTTTCTCTTTCCTGGCTCTCTCCAGTTGCAGTGGCAGGTGCAGCTGCTGGAGTTGCTAGCACGCTTGCTTGCCATCCTCTTGAAGTTTTAAAGGTATTTGCATGTTTAACCAATTGCACCAATGAATATTAGCATATTTAAGGTTTTTGGTAAAATAATTTTATGCTATTTCCAGAAGTCAAGAATTAACATGTTAAATTGTCACTCTCGTCTTTCTTGTGTCCTGAAAAATGAATCTGTGTTGGTTGTCTTGGAAATTTGGAAAGTTATATTTTGTTTGTATACTTTCGTTTCTTTCTCCTATATGGTTTGATAGTGAAGATGATTTCCTGGCACAATGGGTTTTGTAGAGGTCCTAGTTCTTTTCATTATGTCTGCAGGGGAACTAATTTTTCCTTCGCAATTATTTCTTACAGGACCGGTTGACTATAAGTCCCGAGGCTTATCCTTCTATAGGCATTGCAATTAGCAAGATTTACAAGGATGGTGGGTTAGGTGGTTTCTATGCCGGTATTTCGCCTACATTGATTGGCATGCTTCCCTACAGCACATGTTATTATTTCATGTACGAGAAGATGAAGAAATCTTACTGCTTAGCAAAGAGAAAAAAGTCTTTAAGCCGTGCAGAGATGCTCCTGGTCGGAGCTCTCTCAGGTGCAAACTTGCCTTTATCTGTGTTGGTTAGGATTAGAAGTAATATTGGTCTGGTTTCCCCAAATCTCGTAATAATAAGCTTTTTTTTTAAAAAAAGAAATTTAATTCCGAACTTGGAATTTACTTTCATAATGTTGATAAAATGATCAAAGCATCACCCTTTTCAGCTGAGTTTCTATTTACTTTCTTCATGGTGGGCAGGTTTTACAGCTAGCACAATTAGTTTTCCGTTGGAGGTGGCCAGGAAACGGCTCATGGTGGGAGCTCTGCAAGGTAAATGTCCACCACACATGGCAGCAGCACTGGCAGAAGTCATTAGAGAGCAAGGTTTGATGGGACTTTACAGAGGTTGGGGTGCTAGTTGTTTAAAAGTCATGCCCTCCTCAGGCATCACCTGGATGTTTTATGAAGCTTGGAAAGATATATTACTAGTTGAGAGGCGCTACCTATAACAAATTCCTATAACAGATTCATGCAATATCTGATTATTGGCCACTTATTCTGCGGACAGATTAGAGCCAGGCTTTGACTTGCGCTCGAATCAGTAGTATTCCGAAACTGTTGTGTTTGGTGGTGAGGACAGTCTGTTTGCTTTTGGTCTTTTATCAGAATTTTTTATGCAAGCTTCAAATTTTGATCATTATGACCAGTAAAATTCATGTTTGAGAAGAAGGTATGTGCTTTTTTATCCATTACAAGAGGTGTGGACGGTTTATACAGACCCTACCTCTATCAATTTTATAGGTGATCTTTTAACATTTTTTTTATCTTGTTTGAAGTGGGTTTTTGATGCTCAATGCGCTGCTACTATAACCAATTTGTTCATTTTCTTCCTTGGTAGAGGTGAGAAGGAATGATGTACTTTTCCATTGTAACTTTGTAAGAGGTTTGTCAGAAAAGAATTTATTGTTTAAACATTCTATTGAGCCGTGTTATATTTTTTCACCTCTGGGAATGCGTGCACTTTTGAACACAAATTTTGCTTTGGGTCCTGCTTAAGTGTGCAACCCCCTTAAAGTTGCACACCATATGCAACCCAATTGTTAGCCGTTAGATTACAATAATTGATCAAGACCATTGAATTGTTTAATCGTGAGAAAGTTGAAATCGGGGAAACCGGTTAATGCTTGTATTTGCATGATTGCATCTCACTCACTCTCTGTATTTCGTCTCTATCTCTCTCTGTTCTCCTCTCTGTGTAAGGTTGAGTCAGTGTAACTGTTGATTTTCATTAACAGGGAGAAGTCCCTGTTGGGTTCGTTCCATTGACGAAGCTCTGTAGGGAACAGTATAACGGGCGATTTCTAACAACAACGTAACTACAAGGCTGTGTTGGTTCCATTGCTGAAGTGAAGCTCTTCTCTCGAACTAGATAGGAGGTATGGAGCTGTCTCCCTTTCTCTGTCTCCCTCTCTGTCTCTCTGGCCCGTTCACTTCAGCTATTTTCCCTCAACTAAACTCCCATCCTAACTTCAACCACTCTACGCTTCGCTCCAACGGAAACCCCTCCATTGGCAGCTAACCTTTCTCTTTCTCTTTCTCAAGCGAGTGTTTGTGTTTGCACAAACAGGTAAACCGTGTAAAAATGTCATGTTTGTGTTTGTGTTAACAATTTTCGGTCATCAAGTAATTGTTTGTAGTAATTTCATGTGCAGTATGGCCCCAGCGGAAGTTAAAAGGGAAGGTGATGATTATGATATTCCAAATGAAGCTGATGGCATTCGTTTGATGAATGAAAGTTGGGCAGAACCTGATCATGGTTGCGAAGCTGGTCCGAGCAATGAAGAAGCAACCAACATGAACGTTGAAGATGGCGGAGCCGATGTGAAAAAAGAAATGGTTGACGATGCTCATCGCAATGACATGGTTGGTGATGTTGAACGTGCTATTCTGGAACAGAAATTTGATTCGGTCGAAGATGGAGAAGATTTCTACAATGCGTATGCTAAAGCCAAGGGATTTAGTATACGAAAATCCAGATTTAACACAAATAAAGAGGGAAAGGTCGTTAGTAGGCTGTGGTTGTGTTCAAGGAAAGGTCAGAGATTACCAATATACTTGGACCGTGTTGCTGAGAAGAGTAGAGCTCCCAAGGCACTAACAAGAGTAGGTTGCAAAGCCCAATTTCGCATACGGTACGATGCGGATGCTGGTGAAGGGGGAAAGTATGTTGTGACGCACTTCGTCGCAGACCACAACCATGAATTGGCGGAACAACACTGTGTGATGTATCTAAGGTCACATCGCAGTTTAAACAGCGGTGACAAAGCTCAAGCAATGGCTATGCGCAATGTCGGTGTGAAGACTAGCCAAATCATGGACTATATGGTAAATCAGTCCGGGTCTTATGAGAATGTTGGTTTCATCCGCACGGATCTGCACAACCATATTCAAGCCGAACGTAGAGCAGAAGTTGAGGATGGTGATGCGCAGGGTGCGTTGGTTTACCTATGCGCAAAACTTGATGTTGATGCACGTTTTCAAAAACATCTTGCAATAATCAACTAGGCGTCACCGCCTTCCTGCTCGTCACCTACATATATATATATATATAGAGGGTGAGCTTGGATACTCAGTGAATGATATTAGAAATAAAG